TACAAAGCATTAAATGAATATTTCATGACTTATTTTGAATTTTTATTTATTGGAGTTACTCATCAAATTTCATAAGTTTATGGAGTTGTGATTGGTTTCGAGATTTCGAAATTTGGGAATTGGAGTTGGAAGAAGTTTTGTACTTCTGAAAATGATTTAATTTCAATTTGTTTTGTCCCGATTTTCATCCCCAGTTCTAAAGCTTATATCTTTTGGTGTCACTAGAGACAATAATTTTTTTTCAAGTTTGGGACTTTAAAGACTTCGATTTTATAGAAAATATATATAATGTGAGACTCGTAACTAGTAAGGTGTATCTAAAACTAAATAATAACTATGGGAGGCGTTAAATATCGTTTCAAATTTACTAGTATTATTTTGACTTTGAATTTGATTTGAACCATTTTTTAGTTTGAATTTAGAACAATTATCGCATCTATTAAAGGAGATGAGGATTCTCGGATGAACTATGGTAATATTATTGCCGATATTAAGAGATTGGCGCAAGGCTTCGAAGCTTTCAAAGCTTGTGTCATGAGGGAAAGCAATCGAGCAACATACGAAATTGGTAGATTGTTTTTAATGAAGTCCTTTACTTCGAATATTTTGCCGAGATTTATTCAAAGATATTGTATGCTCTTAGTCATTACATTTCTAGTTTTTTTCTAAAAGAAAAAAAAAGAATTAGTAAAACTTCAAATATGAACAAAATTTGTAGTCTTTTCAATTTATTTTATGTATAATCCAACTTGAATCAGCTAGACTGAATGTCGGGTGAGAGAATAATACATGAATGATGAATATTTGTTATAACTTTGATGTTTTTAGTTTTTTCAGACTCACATTATAATTGATTTACGTATAACTCTCATACATTAATGTATGTTATTCTTGTTGGATTGTAATTTGTAAAGCAAACTCAGATGACTTACAACTTTGGTGTTTTTAGTTATGCTAAATTCGGACAGAAAATGAGTCAAAATCGCATTTAAAGTCGAAACATTATCGGTAAATTTAAAACGACAATTAGTATTTCAAACTTAAAGTACATTTACATTTTATTAAGTCTTTATTACTTTAATTTGTTTCGGTTCGATTTTAGCTGAAATTAATTTATCCAAACAAGCCAATAAATTTAGTGGGATCATGAATTTCATATTTCTTATATTATTTGTCAAATATATTTAAAAACATGACAGATATTTCATATTCCATATTTGTGTATTGAAAATGAGAGAGAGATTGATATGATACCCCTTGAACTAAAATATTTTAGTAAAATATCATAGTTCAATTAGAAAAAATATATATGTATATATTTTTTTTAATAATTATGTTTGTAGATTGTAAACTTTATTTTAAGATTGAAAAAAAAGTTGAATTTTGGGATTGTAGAAAATTAATTGAACCGTGAGAATAATTAAAGTCGTCGGAGAATTGGCCAAATGCACCGGCGTTGAAGGGCGCTCGTCGTCCGACATATGGTGAATATTTGCTCGGAGGGGTTATCGGAAGTGGGTTTAAATCATTTGGAGTTTATTCATCTCCACAAAACCGCCGTTCTATTGGAGGCGGTGGTGGTTTCGGGGCCATTTTGGGGGGGGCGGAAATGAAGCAAAAATAGAAAATTTGAGGAAATTCGCCAAGTGTATTGAGCTATTATTTCAAGTGATTGACGATATTCTTGATGTGTCAAAATCTTCTATAGAATTAGGGAAAAGTGAAGGGAAATATTTAGAGGCCTACAAAATTACGGATCCAAAAATAATCGGAATACGCATCCAAAAATAATCGGAATCGAAAAATCGAGAGAGTTTGCTGAGCAATTGAATAGGGAAGCTCAAGAGCAGCTTGTTGGATTTGATACTGATAAAACTGCTACTTCGAATGCTCTAGCTAATTATATATTAAAAATATATATAACGCCGTTAAACTCTTATTTAATAATAATTCTATAGTCAAAAAAACTACAAACGCCGTTGCCGGGGATCGAACCCGGGTCACCCGCGTGACAGGCGGGAATACTTACCACTATACTACAACGACTTGGATGTGAAGAACAATTCTTATACATTATTTAATTAATTGCATCATATAAATAAACTTCTTACCCGTTGCATTTTTAGCATGTTTATCTCAGAAATTATTATTCATTTATTAATGTTAAGTTTTCATGATATTATTTCATTTGTAATGCATTTTTTTTATTATTATACAAACACATCTTACATATATAATAACATTTCTTTTTACTTTTTCTATTGCGAAATACACGTCGCTGAAAAAATACTAGTACTTGTAATTGATAGTTTCTTTTGGGAATGTCATAAAAAAAATTAATATTAAATTGCAAATAATAAGAAAATATAATCTTTTTAAAAATGTGTTTATAATAGTGTAAAAATAAATTTAATTACTTATGGTTGTACCGATACAACTCCAGCAATAGATGATGATCATACAAAATAAAAAGTAATGTATATGAAAGTAACACATAAAATATTAAACGAAAAATATTTAAAAATCTAACTTCTATAATTGATAGATACGCATTATTTTTAAAATATAAAAGAAAATATATATATATTTGTGTTATCTTTGAAGAGAAAGAAAGAAGAAAGAAATGTGCAAATATAATTAAAGGTGTATAGCTGAAAAAATAGGAGATTGGTGTTTGGTTTGAATTTTGAGCTTTTTCTAATTAAAACATTAATAGAGGGAGAAAGTTAGTTTTAAAAACTGAAATCTAACTACAAAATATCATAATCAACTCAAAAAAAAAAAAAAAATAGCATAACCCGACATCAAATTCAAAGTAACGAAAACAATTATATTAATGTAAGAGACACCTAACACAATTTCAACGACAAAACCCGGAAAAGAAAAAAAAATAGCGGCGCCGAGATGGAGGTAGAAGGAGGTGATGGCGGCGATGTGGAGGAGCCTCCCTAATGAGGTGACCAAAAACCTTAGCCATAAATAATGGCGTACGATTATATAGAGCAACTAGGGGTGAAAGTCGCATGTATTGGATTGGAATTTGTTTTTTTGGAAAATTGGCAAAAAAATTCGGAAGTACAAAATTAATTCCAATTCCAATTCCAATTCCAAAATTTTCGAAATCTAAAAATTTATTTCAATTCCAAAAGGCCGGGAAATTTCGGAATTTCGGAAAAAAAAATCATAAATCACATAAGTTTTAAAATTTAACAATTTAGCCGAAATTTTCTAAAATGTTCATAATTTTTCAAAAAATAGAACATCCACATCGATAAAAGTAAAATTAGTAAGTATTAAATTTCAGTTCAAAAATAAAATAAAAATAAACACACCATAATATCCAATAATAAAACTTTTAACAAATTAAATCGCATCGGAAATCGGAAATTCCAATTTTATTTTATATAA